CCTCCCGGGTTCCCGCCATTCTCCTGCCTCAGCCTCCTGAGTAGCTGGGACTACAGGCGCCCGCCACCGCGCCCGGCTAATTTTTTGTATTTTTAATAGAGACGGGGTTTCACCATGGTCTCGATCTCCTGACCTTGTGATCCGCCCGCCTCGGCCTCCCAAAGTGCTGGGATTACAGGCGTGAGCCACCGCGCCCGGCTTTCATTTAGTTTTCAGTGACTTTGTCTAGCAGATTAAAAAAAAAAGCAAAACAGCTGGCAACCTGATGTGAGTGCCACACATTTCTGTTGAAATATTAGCGTGGTCTGGCTGGGCACAGTGGCGGAGATGTTGGTCTAAAATCTCAGAATCCAGGAACCTCCAATGCGGTGTCATTTGGGTTTTACAGTTGTGATATTTAGTAAATCTGGACTTCTTTTTATATTTTAGAATCATTTTTAGTTTATTATTTTGGGTTCTTCTAGTTAGTAGTGCCAGTTAGATGGATGTTTTTATTACTTATTTCGGCTTTCTCTGACTTCTTCATCCTTCGTCTATGCCTTGCGGTGTCCTTTGAAAGTGTATAGGAGAGAGAAGGGTGAAATGGGGGCACCCTCATTTTATATCTGTTTTTAAAGGGATTTTTCGCTAATGTCTTTTCTCTGACAGTATTTAGGTGGGCTTCAAAGGGAAAATAGATGGTATCTTATGAGAGGGCTCAACAGAAAGTTTGGAGGTGAGAAACCAGAAGCCAAATTTGGGACCACACAGGCCTGGATATAAATCTTGCCTCCTTCTGCTTCCTAGCTGACCAGGGGCTATGGCTGATGGTGGTGATGGTGCTGGTTATGGTGGTGGTGATGGTAGTGGTGATGGTGGTGGTGGTGGTGGTGGTGATGATGGTGGTGGTGATGGTGGTATAGTGGTGGTGGTGATGGTGGTGGTGGTTATGATGGTGGTGTAGTGGTGGTGGTGGTGATGATGTGGCTGTGGTGATGGTGGTGGTGGTGGTGGTGATGATGGTGGTGGTGATGGTGGTATAGTGGTGGTGGTGATGGTGGTGGTGATGGTGGTGGTGGTAGTGGTTATGATGGTGGTGTAGTGGTGGTGGTGGTGATGATGTGGCTGTGGTGATAGTGGTGGTGGTGGTGGTTATGATGGTAGTATAGCAGTGGTGGTGGTGGTATAGTGGTGGTAATGGCCAAGAGGTGAGAGAATGAGGGGGCAGGATTTTGAGGAGCCCAGCCATGCAGAAAGAGCCTAAAATAAAGCTGGAGTTGGCAGTCAAGTTGGATTTTTTTAAATTTCACTTTCCAGTTCTCTTTTAGTGGTTTGTTAATGGAAAGCCTTAGAAGCCGTAGAGTTTGGTCTGCACAACTGCACTGAGTGCCCACTCTAGGTCCTGTACTCTGCAAGGCACCGGGAATACGATGGTGAATGCATGCAGTGAGGGGGATCTGGAAATAATGAGTCATCATGCTAAGGAGGGTCTCATTACAATCTGAGCTAAGGACACTGGAAAAGAAACATGTTCCTTCCCCCCCGCCCCCCAAGTATACAGCAGAAGAAGCCGCCCTGGATTTGGGCAAAGCAGGGAATACTTTACTGAAAAAGTGATACGTGCACATTTGAGCTGAGAACTGAAGGGTGAGCATGTGGCAGCAGGGGAGTGGTGCGGTTCCAAGTTGAGGAGTAGCCAGAGGGTGGTACAGTTCCAAGCTGAGGAATAGTGTATTTGCCAGCCCTCTGGCGGAAAGAAGCTAAGCCTGTTAGGGAAACTCACAGGTCAGCAGAGCTGGAGGACAGAGATGAATCTGGAGCGGGTGGCAGGGGTCTCTGGGCCCAGCAGGTCAAACTGCAGTCTTTCTGTTGTCTTAAACAGCCATAAACAATGGGAAGCCTTTGTCCTGATGGCCATGAGGGACTGAAATCAAGTTGTCTATTTTAAAGATCTCTCTGGCCACAGAGTAGTGGGATGGAATTTGAGAGGAAGCTAGAGTTGATAGTAGCTGGGTCAAGGGAGGTGGCTGCTTTTAGAAATACATAAAGCTGAGGATATTGAGAGTGGCTTTTAGAGTTATTTAGGAGAGTGACTTACAAGGCTTGGTGATAACATGGATGTGGGGAAATTGGCTGTGTCAGGATGACACCCAGGTGGAACTAGATGGAAGCTAGTACTTTTCACCAAGCTAGAGAAGCAGGGAAAGAGGCCCAGGTGTGAGGTAGCAGGAGGTCATGAGTTCTGCCATGTTGAGTGGGGTGGTGGGGCCAGGAGTTACTCTATGTTGAGTGGGGTAGTAGGGCCAGGAGTTCCGCCACGTTGAGTGGGGTGGTGGGGCCAGGAGTTCTGCCTTTGGTCTGTTGAGAGCAAGTTGCCTTTGGGCTGCACGTGACAAGGTATCAGACAGGTAGAAAGATGTTCTAGGTCTCGGGCACAGTGGAGAGGCTGTCATAGCAGAAAAAGTCTAGTGCTAAGTGGGAGACAAGAGAGGAACACTCCAAACTGAGTTTCCAACCAAAGTCATTTTCAATAGGAGTCATCCTGGAGCTGGAAGGCACTGGAGAGACGAGTCTCAGCCCTTTTATTTCACAAGTAAGGAAACTGAAGCTTAGAGAGGGAGGTGGGACCTGCTCGTTAGTGGTAAAGCCACTCTTAGACTGAATTTTTCTAGTCCTAGTTCTGTCTCAATTGTTTACTACACCAAGCAGAGAATCTTCCTGTAGAGGTGGAACATGAGCCAAGGGCTCAGATGTCAGCCCCCTTGATATCAGATCTATTTTTTGTCAACAACCAAATGAACAGCTTCACATTCTTTTCTTGATCACTTTAGAACTGACATTCCTCCAGCTCCTTATTAAAGAAAGAGTAAAGCAAGAGCTGGCTAGAAGTAGTTTGGAAGGTAGAAATAGACTATACCATGTCTTTAGTGATCAGCCTGGCACAGTCACATGGCAGCCAGGAAGAGTTTGGCCAAGGCTAAAGCCAGTATGACTTGGTGGCACTCTCTTTTTCTGTTGGTCCAAAGGCACCAGTTATTACTTAAAACTGGCCCCTAAAATAGGAGCATTAAGGTACAAGAAAGGCAAGTTCATTTTTCTCAAGATCCTTTTTCAAGATGTCTACACTGTGAAACTGATAACCCAGCAGCAGCCTCTCCCAGCCATGACTTCTCAACTTTAATGTTTAACTGCACATGCAATTATATGAATTACATGTATTATCTAATCATTTTAAAATAGTAGATAAAGCTAAGGCTAATGTCTGCTTTGATGACCCTGTACCAGTCACAGTTTTCATACACCACCTCTCAAATCCCCCAGAGGTTACCAACTTCACAAATGATGGGTTTCCATACAGGATGTCATAGTTAAAAACACAAACATAACTGTGTTTTCAAACACAGCTTTTCATGTGTTTCATTGGGCTTCACATTGCAGCCTTTTCATGTATCTGTATATCTTGGAGACCCTTTCCTATTGGTTCCTGTAGGATCTGCCTTGTTCTGTTTCACCATCACCTCATTGTCTGGGCTGAATAAAGACAGTCAGCAGTCACATCCCTGTCGACGTGCGTTCAGCTCTTGCCACTTTGTCCCTATTAGAAATTGCACTGCCGACCATGTCGTGGTACACACCTCCATGTAAATGTCACAGGTGTTTCTCTGGAGATGGTATCAAGCAGTGGAGTTGCTGCTCACAGGCCAACACAGAGCCTTGGCTACATGGCACTTCTCTACGAGGCCACCGGTGTGTCCCCACCAGCAGTGCCTGAGTATTTGTCTCCCATGCCCTGCTAGCACCACCCTCTTCTTTCTGGTAGAGGAAACAGTAAGACCTGTAGCATCCCCAGGCCCTCTATGAGTTAGGAGAGAGGTCTTGGAGCTGTTTTCCTGCTCTGCTTGTGGGACTGGGTTTCTGAGGCCCATGACCTTGGCTTCATCAATATTTTCTCTAGACTGTCAAGAAAAGAAGTTGAACTTCAGAGAAATATATCTCAGAAATTTGCCACAAGGACAGGACTAGGGAAAACCTAACTAAAAGATGTTAGAAAAGAGAGGCCAAGTGTATCCGAAGTTATGTGTCCAGTTTTGTTTAGTCTTTCAGGAAGGTGACTGAGCTGTTTTAGAAATAACATAGTCCAGTCAGGTGCGGTGGCTCACACCTGTAATCCCAGCACTTTGGGAGGCCGAGGTGGGCAGATCACTTGAGGTCAGGAGTTCAAGACCAGCCTGGCAACATGATGAAACCCCATCTGTACTACAAATACAAAAAAAAAAAGCCAGGCATGGTGGCGCGCACCTGTAATCCCAGCTACTCAGGAGGCTGAGGCAGGAGAATTGCTTGAATCCAGGAGCCAGGATCATGCCACTACACTCCAGCCTGGGCGGCAGAGTGAGACTCTGTCTAAAAAAAGAAAGAAAAGAAAGAAGTAACAGTTCAAACTGCCATTGGAGAACTCTTCATGGTGCCCCGATTATAAACTATGCATCTCTCCCTGATTGATTATAAACCACGCATCTCTCCTTGATTGATTATAAACCATGCATCTCTCCCTCACCATCTGATCATTTTAAACCCAGATCCCTTCTGCTAATCCAGGATCTAAACAGTTTAAGCCGGGAATGGCCACAATTTAAAGAATGCTCTCCAGCCTTTGAAATTCAGGTCCCTGTTCCCCTACCCCTGAACCCTCCCCCTGCCCACTCATTGTAGGCATAGACGAGTTAGTCATGGTGTATAACTAGGGTTACCATAAAATTTGTCATCCAGCTGGGACATTTTTAAGCATGAAAGGCAGCGCTAACCAAGGGGATGCTGGGATGACAGGGGCAGAGCAGGCTGACTGGGCCCCCCAGCACTCCCGTCATGCCAGCATCAATGTTGTTAATAGTAGTATGACAACACTGCAAAAAAATGTACATGCTCATTCACATAACTATAAAAATAATTAGTATTAATGTTATCATTATTAGCACTTTTAAAAGAGAAGTAACTTCCCTTCTCCCACTATTTTTCAATAGACTTCAGTGTGCTGAAAGTTCTCCCATTGAGAGCACTTGCAGCTGGGTGAACTATCTACATGAAAGTGACATTTGCTCATCTGTCTTTCTTGCTGAAGTTATCGTCTAAAGGTAAGCAAAGGAACAAGCTCAGGAGAAAGCAAATGGAGCACTCTCAGAGACCTTTCCTGGGGCTCCGGATTGGGAGGAACAAGGCCTGTGGCCACCAGTTGTCGTGGCTTTATGCAGCAGCAGCAGTGACAGGGACTCTGGGCTTCCACACTCCCCTCTCGCCCATGCCGGGAGCAATGCAGGCTCTTCTAGCAGGGCTAGGATGCCCCACAGCTCTGGGCCTTGAACAGGGTAGGGGTCCATTCAGACTGGGGTTGCTGGCCTAGGGTTATGAGTGGCTTTTGTTGGCGGAGACTACAGTTAAACCCATCTAAGTGCCAAAGTGCCTTAGAAATTAGAACAAAAAGTACAGTCCCTTAGGAATATCGAGGTCATTTTTGCTCAGACTTCAATTATTTTCACACCACCTTCAGTTTTTGCCATATTCCTATACTGAAACTGCACTTCACCGTTCTCTCTAAGTCAGCTATTTCTTTATGTAAATACATTTGTTTTTAAAGGAAAGTTATGCAACTGCTATTGAAAGATTACCAGTATCACTGGCTTCTGGTTAAGTATTTTAAAAACACTCATGAAGACAAGTGCGTGCTCTGAAAATGGCAACATGGCTGATGCCCCTCCAGGCACAGCCCTGAGCACCTCCTTGATCCTGTCCCCCATCCACCCAGTCTCTTCATTGACCTGAGAAACACTCGTCTGGGCTCTAGGAGAGATGGTGAGAGATGGTCTTGTATGACACAAAGATTTCCCACTAAAGGGGACAAATGATTTTTTGCCCCCCGTATCTGGTCAGGTGCCTCTTAGCTGAGAAGTGGTAGGAAGAGTTCTTATTCCTTCCAGCGGAAGCCTGTTGAGTTTCAACAGGGCTCAATTACTTGGGGCACATTTTCTTCCCGTGACATTTGTCGTCTAATAATAAGTCAACAGATGGAGTTGTCTTGATCTGCCTTTACCATGACATTTGCTCCCACTTCACATGTTTATGTTTGCAGATGCAGCCAAGAAACAGTCGGTAGAACTGTCCCAAAGCCCAGCGAGATGAGCCCGGGCGCTTCTCACTTCCTGCTGGCATGCTCTGAAGCAGTGTTCCAGCCAGCAGGCCTCTCACAGAACCCATCCACTCACCTCTGTTCTCACTCCCGGCTTTTCTGGGGATTGGGTGTGGGGAGCTGGGTCTGTTCTCCCATTGTGCTCTCTGTTCTTGATAGGATGCCAGAAAGTACAATGCTCTCTTCATCAAGTTCAAAAACAGGCAAAACCAAGTAATGCATACGTGATAGAATGTTTACAGCCAGCAGACGATAAACTCAGCTTCTGCATTTGGTTTCCTCTGGCAGGGGCGACCACAAGGAGTGGGAGAAGGACATTCTGCTGGATGAAGTTCCTGGCTGTGTTCTTTCTTGGGTTCGGCTGCATAGGGTCACAGGGGTTGAATGACAATATTTTTAAATACTAACTTTTAAAAGTACATGTTCGGACTGCCTCCATGGGTCAGTGGCATGGACAGCTGAAACCAACCCAGGGCATTTGGGGAATGGTGGGCCTGCTGTGCTATGGTAAAAGGAGGCCATAGTTTTGAGGCTGAGCTGTTGCTGACCAGCGTGGTGGGACTTTGCTCACCTTTCTTCTTTCTATACAAATTAAGAATCCTCAGAAGAGTTCTTAGCACATATTAGGCCCTCAGTAAATATTTGTTGAACAATTTTTCACTTGTGTATTTTTAACCTTGTTGTTACGGAAATTTTCAAGCACACCAAAGCAGAGAGGAGGCCAGCGCAGCTGCGCTGCCCGTCAGCTCTGGTTTCCTCTGTCACCACACCTTTTCTTCTGGAGCCCTTCACAGCAAATCCCAGAAATCATAGTGTTTCACCCCTGGCAGTTTTGGGCAGTAGAGTGGGTTCTTCTGTTCTGGATTTGTGGCTCTGATCCACCTAACAGTTTGTTCTTCCGGGGTCTTTTAGGATATGTTGAAACCGACCTCTTCTTCCCCAAAGACAGCGTGTCAGGAAAATGAGGCCTTTCTCTGTATCTCCCCGCTGGGGATTTCCTCACTGCATAGGTGTGTACTTGGCTGCACATTTGTCCTGGGCATTTTGCTGGACCCGTGTATCAATGATGAGAGAAGCAGCCGTGGCCTAGGGCCTCCATGCAAATGCAGGCTGATGGCATGGTTAGGGGAGCGGAGCCTAGTTCCTGTGGGCGCTAGGAGTGTTGTAAAGTGACCACCCATCTTTTGGGCCCCCTTTCACGACTCCCAAGTTGATCATTGGTGCTTTCCCCCATTGCCAAGTCAGAGTGGACATTTTCCACAGACAGTACCCCAGTGGACTGCAGCTCTGCCCCTTCTGACAGAAGGCACATTGGGAACATGCAGAGCCCACATCCAGGGTGATGGCAGTTGTCACCATCCATGTGGAAAGACCTGGCCCCGGCCAGCTGCTGGGCCTCTTTGCACTGTATTAATAGCAAGGCCATGGGGCCCACTGGGGTCGGGAGACAGAGAGGGAAGGAGGACAGCTGTGGCAGACATCACCCCATGCTCCAGACATGTGCACCCGTCACAGGCATACAGATGGCCACACCTTGACCTGCTGCTCCAAAGCCTCCCAAGCCCCTGCCAACCTTCTCCTTGTAGGGGCAGGAATTGGCTCGCACTGACGACCCATTTGACAGAGGAGCCAAATTAAGAATGGCATGATTGGAATAGAGGGTTCCAGTGGCCCCACGTTCAGGGTCAGTTTACGCTTTTATTAGACACACACGGGCATGGGGGCCGAAAATGAGGCAGTGGTATTTAAACAGCTGGGGGTATTGGGTTCTATATGCCAAGGCTGGACAGATATTTTTAAATGTCACAGGCCAAATGGAAGCTCAGTTGGCAGCAGGATGGAGGGGCAGGGGGATTTGGAGGCCACTGCATTGCCGTGGCTAGATATGGCCAGGAGAGCTGAGTAGGATTAGGGCCTGGGAAGAAGCCAGCCTGGGAAGAGCCCGTGAAGAGGGAGCAGGAAGGATCATATGAGAAAGCGGTAGGCGCCGGGGTGGCAGGCAGGCAAGAGTGCAGGTGCTGGAGCCAGGGGCAGACAGAACTGTGTGAAAGCACCAAGGACAGGGCCAGAGGAGCCAGGTCAGAGCCCAGCCCTAGCTCAGGGGAATGTGTAGAGAGCAGAGCTGGTGTGTCAGGGCCCTGTTCTGGCATCAGAGAGATGTGAGCGCTAACCTTAGCACCCCACTTTCCCCCCTGGGGCCTTGGGACTACTTATTTATCTGCCAAGGCAGTTTCCTGACTTCAGGGAAGGGGCCAGGAGAGGATTAAGAACAAGCAGCACCTGACACTCAGAAAAGTGTCCCTAAATGATCGCCACCATTATTAATAGTACAAATTAATGGGTGGCCAGCCTCCATTGTGTGATGGAGCCAGAAGCTGCTCTCCAAGCCTGCTCTCACCCAGAGACACGGTGCGTTTCAGCCACATAGGAGTTCCTTTAAGGATAAATGATGATGACCACCAACGGTTAGGTGTCAGCAGATTTTACAGAAGCCTTTGGCCATTTGACCTCTCCTGGCCTCTAGTTTTCTGGGGCCTGCCTCTTCCTGTCCATGGACAACCGTAGCTGGGGGGCGACCGCCCCCTGTCGGCCAGCAGCACACACACCCCCGTGCCTGCCACCACCTGTGCCTGTCACTCATCTCTGAGTGGGGCCTGGCCTCCGTAGGCATTTGCACTTGCTCTCCCTGCAGTAAAGTGGAGCTATTATTATCTTATAAGAAACAAGGGTCATCATCAGAATTGGGCAGGGACCCAGCAACTGAGTTCTGGCCGGGGCCTCCTTGCCTTTGCTGTGACATTGGTCTGGGCGACCTGGGCTGATGGATGAGCACTGAGTGGCCAGGCCTGGGGAGCCATCATGGCTGCCTGCTTTCCTCTTGGTGGGCCCCGTAATGAGCTGAGCAGAAACACAACATGGCTAGGGCAGTTACCGTGGCCACCTAACATCTGTGCGTCCCTCAGCCTCCCTCATTCTTGTCAGCATAGGGATGACTTAGGAAAGCTGGAGGAGGCCCAGGCTGCTCTGAAACCTGGGCCTTGCTTTTCAGCACCAGGGATTCAAGAGAGGAGGAGGTGAGGGAGGAGGGGAATTTCTGTTGGGGCTTTTGTGGGCCTCATGTGGCCCCTGAGTTAATCTCTATTCGTATTCAGAATTCCCTCCTTTTCCTTGGTGGGTCAGAGTTCTCTCTTGCTCATCCAGGCCTCAGAGAAGAATCCATGGCAGTTGTGACCACAGCTAGGCCTTGCCTCCTTCAGGGCCCTGTACATGAAGGCTCAGAAGATCCCCTCATCTTCTGAAGAAGTGAGAGTCTCCTCCTGTGGGCTTCCAAGGGACACCGTGGTTAGCCGTGCTCGCACAGCCTGCCCCATACTCAGGCTTCTTGGCACAGAGAAGCCCTTCCTGATTTATGGTGCCTACCACGTTCTAGGCATTAGAGAAATGCATTAATTTACTCTTCCTTGCAAGCTTGTGGGGAAACTGAGGCATACACAGGTCAAATAGCTTGCCCAAGGCCACACAGCAGGAAAGTCGTGGAGTCTGGATTTGAACTCCAGTGGTTAGTCAGGCTCCAGAGGTTGCCTTTCAAACCACTGTCCTCAAATGCTGCCTGGAAAATGACGGAGCTGATGGAGGGGTCCGAGGTGATGCTCTGGTGAGTCGGGAGCCTGCCAAGTCACAGGAGCTGGGGAAAGAGCCCACTGGACAGAGGGGACAGCCAGTGGAAAGCCCCTGAGGTGGGAAAGAGCTGGCCATGAACTATAGGGAAGCAGGAAACCAGTCTGGCTGCAGGAAGTGAGCAGGTGCAGGGGAAGGAGCTGGGGTAGCTGAGGAGGCAGCACCATAAGGGCAGCCTGTGGCCGTGGCACTGGGGTCTGATTCCAAGTGCAGTGGGAGGCCCTGAGGCTTCTGACCAGGGCCCTGCTGGCCTGAAGGTCTCCCCCACTAGGAGATGGGATTCTCGTGGCAAGAGGAAAGCCGGGAGAGCAGGAGCTGAGCTGCCCCACATTGGGTAGCTGGGGTCTGTTCACTGAAGGGGATCTGATATGGTTTGGCTCTGTGTCCCCACCCAAATTTCATCTTGAATTGTAACTCCCACAATTCCCACGTGTTGTAGGAGGAACAGGGTGGGAGGTGATTGAAGTATGGGGGTGGGTCTTTCCTATGCTGTTCTCGTGATAGCGAGTCTCATGAGATCTGATGGTTTTAAAAAACGGGAGTTTGCCTGCACAAGCTCGCTCTCTCTTTTGCCTGCTGCCATCCATGTAAGATGTGACTTGCTCCTCCTTGCCTTCTGCCGTGATTGTGGGGCTTCCCCAGCCACATGGAACTGTAAGTCCAATTAAACCTCTTTCTTTTGTAAATTGCCCAGTCTCAGGTATGTTTTTATCAGCAGTGTGAAAACGGATTAATACAGGGTCTATCTGGGAGAGGCTGCCTTTCTCTGAGGCCTCTTGCTTGGCAGTGTAGAGGAGGTTCACTAGTGCTTCTGGAATGTTCCTTGGCCCTTTGGGACTCAGCCTATAGTCAGAGCTGGTTCCTTAGGCTTTAGGTGGGGCACCCTTGGAGAGCTCCCTGGGGTAGGTGTCCAGGTGTCATGTACGGCTCTGGTGCCTCCCTCCCTTCGTCCACCTAGTGCTTCTGGAGGGCTTGGCTCAGCGTCATCTTGGCAGCTGGGCCAGGAGGCAGGGCTTTGTGGGTTTTCCCATTTATATTTCTTTATAGGTGAGAAATGAGCCTCACCTGTGTGGCTCAGTGGTGAGCGCCTAAGGTCACATCTCCAGTTCCATGACAAAAACACCAGGTCAGGTGCATGGGTGGCTGGCACTCACCGTGGCAACACTGTGAAGACATCTCTTTGCCATTCCTGGTGCCCCCATTGGAGCAGGCATCTGAACGCTGGTGATTGAGAACCTGGGGGCTCTGATGGGGCACAGATGCCGAAGCGCTCCCCACTAGATGACACAGCTGCAGTGACAGGTACGGACAAGCCTTCAGCACCCCTTTTCCAGGAGGGTCACCTGGGGTGGGGGTGCGAGGACCCCTTTGCCCTGGGCACCTGTTGGACCTGAGTCTGGGTCCCAGCTGTTCTACCTCACACTGAGGTTGTGGTCACCTGTGTGGGTCCCGGTTTTTTGTTCTGGACAAAGGTTGGGACCAGAGGTAGATGGGTTCACCTGTTCTATTGTTTCATGAGGGAAACAATCCTGGTTGGTTGCCTGGTTTCTGCTTGGGTTTCCATTCCTTGCCCTGGCCCTACAGGATTAGTGGAGCACCATAGCCCTGCCTCCTTTCTCTGGCCAGCCAGCGGGCTTCAGAAAAGGCTTATCTAAGCACTCTGTTCTTGAGGGCCCTGAAGAAGTTGACTCTGGCAGATGTCTTGTCTCAGATCACAAAGGCCTTGGAGATTGGGACTCCACACCCATTTCATTGAAACCTGCTCTTCCCCATCAGAAAAACGGCCATGTTTTCAAAACCATAACTGCTTCTCTCTTGAATCAACAATAAACAACAGCCTAAAGATTGCCCATAAAAGTAAGTTCCACTGATGGCTGTTCTGGCTGTTGGAAGCAAGATATCAAGTTGGAGTGTGGCCATGGGAGATCACGCCGCAGGTGAGTGTGTGTGCACCTGGTTTCATTTCTATTATTAATCCTTTGCCCTGTTTTTTTCTTTCTTTTTATCCCAAACCTGTCTGCTCCCAACGGTGCCTGGAACCTTCTGCGTTTGTGCCCCTCCAGAACTCCGCCTCATCAGTGCCACGTTCCTGGGTTGAAAACCGTGGTACTTCAGCCTTTTCTAGATGGGAGTTAACCCTTACCCTCTGCAGGAAAAAGGTTTGATAAGCAAAGAGTTTGGTGAACAAGATCCTTGTGGAGGTAAGAGCTGATCTCTGACGTCCACTGGGACCTGGCTGCTCTGCAGGTTTCTGTATCACATTTTCCGCACATTAGAATTGGAGTTGGGGCGTATCTAGTTTTGAACAAAGGCCCAGCAGGCCCTCTCAGATGCACCCTGTCAGACAGAGCATACTGTGGATTCACCACTGGGCTTCTTTAAAAATGGCTTAATTCCTTCTTGGTGGCCACCCCACCACCCAACAGGCACCTAAAATGAAAGGATTTTTGGTAGCTGGTTACTACCAAACCACCTCAGGCAATACATGGGAGACTCCAAACCAGCTGCTGTTTAAAAAAAAAAAAAAAAAAAAGGGGCAGCAGAGCAGTCATAGAACAGACCCTTCTTACTGCTGCATACAAGATGATCCCATGGACTGCAGGCAGCCACAGCTTTATCCACATGTGCTCTGTGCATCTGGGGCTGCTAGGCTGGTTAGATTTGTGGTCTTCTTCCTCCTGAGGAGGCCCCTAGGGAGAGCCAGCCTGAGCCCTCACCAGGGTTCCTTCTCCGGCAGCACTCACAGAATGATCCTCAAAGGCTATCCTTCCAGCCCTAGCTGGGTTCCTAATTTTCCAGCTATTTCATATCTTCTTTATGTCTCGGTGAATGTTCCCAGGCAGAGTGGCCAGACAGACTCATACTGACAGTTCTCATCAGCCAGTTCCATCCTCCTAGAGATCTCCAGAATCGGCCATATGGACCTGATGCTAGAGGCCCGTCAGCATTGGGGGACCCGGAGAAGCAGCTCAGGTCTTCAGCAGAAGCCGGGTGGTTCTCCCAGTGGTTTTCCTTGACTGTGAGGAACTAGCCTGCTGTTTTGCTCAGGAATGAGCTGCCGGCTCCCCTTTGATGTGCGGCGTCTGTTCAGAACCAGGCAGGGGTGCCTCACCGCAGCAGCACTTGAGTTAGGCAGTGGTTCATGGACTCTTCTCCCGGGGCCCCACACAAAACATTGTTAGCACAGACCTGCCACTCAGATCAAGGTGGCCGGCAGAGCCGTCAGAGAGTAGCCTTCAGAAGATGAATGGCAAGGCTAGCCGGCAGCAGTGAGGCCAGGGCAGAGACGTGGCGCCCCGAGCCTCCTGCCAAGGCCGCCTTGAAGCTGAGATGGAGGCGGGGTGGCTGAGAGGCGAGTTTGATGTGCATGTTTGGGAAGAGGGCTCCATGGAAAGTGCTGTAGGGACCTTGGCTGGGGACCACGTGAGCCCTTATGCAGAGAGAGCCTGTGTCTGTGGGTCTGGGGTCCACCGCAGGCCATTGAGATGGGGCAGGGCTGGGAGGGTTGAGGAGGGGAGATCCCGAGTAAAATGGTGAAATTGGGCCCAGCCGCATGTGGGAGGTGAGGAGAAAGGACCCTTCCGGAGGGCCCCCCCTCAATCCTGTTGTGCCTAATTCAGAGGGTTGGGTGGAGGCTCTCCTGAAGGGCTCTGAAGAGTGCTGCAGCCACAGCTGTGTACCAGGAGTGGAGACAGGACAGCCGATACAAGAGGGGCCCCTGTCATGTCACCTGCTGGGTCCCCTGGAGCAGCCGGGCACTGGGGAATGGTAACCTCACCGTGCCGCGCCTCTGCCACAGTCTCCCATGGGTCCCCACTGCCGGAATTTTCACCTACCTCCCAGCCTCAGCCACAAGCACCTGCAGGATGCGGTGCCACCCACTCCAGTGCCCGCTCCCCTTCCGGAGGCTCTCTCCACCCTCACTGCCGCCTCCTCCTCGGGAAGGCCTCCCCCTTCCCCGACCTCACAGCCTGCTGGGTCTGGGGCTTCTGCTGGGGGACTTATCTGTTTTCCATCCCTGCTAGACTGGGAGCTCCAGGGCAAGGCCGTAGCTGCCTTGCGGATTGTTATGTTGTCCAGCTTGTCTCCACACGTGATACCCAGCAGGTGCCTAATAAACTTGTGTAGAAAGAGTGGTGGATGTTTCTCTTTCATTTATTTCCACGGAGCCCAGCTCTGCTTGCTGGAGTCCTCGAAGCAAGTGCGCAGTGTCTCAGTGTCTGACGGGCCTGGGTTGCTTCTGACTCATGGTGGCTGCTTGGGGGTCATGCTGGAAACGTGGCACCCCAACTCCTGCGTGGAACCAGTTGTCCCCGCTGTGATTCCTCTGGCTGCAGCTGGCCCTGCCTTCCTGGCTCTACCGCAGCGGGGAGTTGCAGGCTCAGTGTCTTAGGGCCTGTCTCCCTCACCAGACTAAACCCCAAAGGGCAGAACTCTCACACACTTAGGACAGAGCGGGTCTCAGGTTCTTGCTGGATGCACCAATGGATGAGTGGATGGACAGAGCGAAAAGATGAAAAGACGGGAAGGCAACTGGGGTGTGACAGGCGGGGTGGCCTGACCTTCCCTGTGTGGACAAGGCTTGATGGGAGGTGCTGGGCATGGCTGGGAGGACTTGGGGTGCAAGGTGTCCCCACGGCTGTCCTGAGGGCAGAAGCAAGGGTGAGCCTTGTTCCTGCCAGAGCCGGGGGAGTCTCCAAAATAGAGCCTGGACCCGCAGGAGCAGTGGCCCTTCCCAGTGCAAGAATGCCACTCCGAGTTGAAAGTTCTGGGGGCTCAGGGACCCCTGAAGTCCGTTCTTGAGCCTTTCCAGTGGCTGTGGCCTCCCCTCAGGCAGGGGAAAGGGGGCCAGAGGGGAGCTTCCCCAGGGGCCTCTGCAGGAGGCCGCCGGGCACACGGTGGCTCCACGCTGGGCGCTGTCAGCAGAGGTGCCCGGATCCAGGCCCTGGTGGAGACCGCAGGCCAGGAAACCAGAGGCCCCTCCGCCCCCCACTGGGGCCCCATGAGTTATACCAGCCAGGCCCCACAGCTGAGGTACCGGGCAGAAAAGGCCTTGGGTGAATGGGGCAAGAGGCCAGGGGCGCTGGGGAAGGCCAGGAAGAGAGCAGAGAGGCCTTCGCTCACACGCAAGCGCACGCCCCAGGGGCACAGGCCTTGAGACACACCTTGGGGCGGGGGGTGGGGGGGCTCCCTGCTTGTTCCCACCAAAGCTGGCACCCCAGCCCTCTCTTCTGGGTATCCCCCATGCCTGGGCTGTGCCGTAGAACAGTTCATGGGTGCCCAGGAGGGGAAGGTGAAGGCCCGCCCTCAGGCCCTGCAGCCCTCGCTGCCCCCATCCCTGCTGCAGGGCTGGCCTCCCTTCTGTCACCGCACCTGCCACTCGCCCCTCTGTCTCAGGAAAAGCCACTGTGATTCCCTTCGAAGGCTGACCTTCCTTCTGGTGGCTTCTGCCCCATTC